GTTCAGGATACGAATAAGTTTTTGACAACGGGCGTGAACGTTGATCAATTCTATCTAATCCCTAACATTATTTTTTTTTATAAATAAAATAGGTTGTTCCAAGTGTAATACTTTTAAGAATCATTTTATTTAAAACTTTTAAAACTCACCCAACTTTGAACAAAGTTTTGTACAAAACGATTGCTTCTCTCATTTGCAGATATTTCATGATTAAACTTTTGAAAATCAAAATTTCCAGTCATATAATCTCCAGGTATCACATTATCTAAAGCTCTAACAACTCCATTTTCTGCAACAATCCAATGTTTTTTGTTATTATTATTCAAAGAATTTACTTCTTCACTCTCATTATAATCTTTAAACGTTTCAATAAATTCATTATCAAATTCACCCGGTAAAAAGTGTAAATTTTCACTAAAAGTAATTAATTCACCAACATTTGAATATTTTGACGAAAGATTTTTTAGTAAATCTTTTGATGGTGGTGACTGAAAAATTAAGAAATATTGTTGATTGTCATTTTGAATAGTGTTGTTTTGTGAAAATGAAATTGTTGTTGATATTGTTATATGAGACGCAACGATTACAATTAATGAAAAAATTTTCATGTCTTGAAAATACATTCCTATTTTTTAAGCGAATCGTGCTTATAGTATAATTTGAACTAATTCTTTCTACTAATGGGTTATTATTATTATTATTTTTTTACACACTTCAATAAATTATCCTATTTTTTGTGATCAAAGTTGAAATGACGTAATTTACGATATATTTACATACAAATGAGATCATTTAATATATTCGGAAATACTGGATAATTGCTAATTGAAAAAAATAAACTGTTAAAGTGGATGATATTAATGTTTTTAAAACATATAATTTCGTTCAAGAATTACAGTAAAATCATTTCCCGTTCATAATAAACTTCTCGATATAACAGTCATATCGTTATCGTTATTTATAATTATTTACTTAATTCTTTATTATAATAATTTCGAACATTTTACTTGATTTTCCGGGTTTCAAATGTTATATTATTGTCATTTTTTCTTACTGTAAAAACCGAACTCTGATTAGACTCCTCAAATTACAGAATTAGGAAATAACCCATTATTAATTGCATACTATGACGCAGTTCACATGGATGCGTGAATGATCTATCGGCACGGCTATGACTAGCATAAACCTTATCGACAAACTGATCTTGCGTTACCAACCTAGCTGTTATATTAGGGTTAGGTTTTGCTATTAAACTAGGTTAGAGCTTTAGTAGTACAAAACTTTCGCAAGGAAACCTTTTTTTTAGTACGCAGAAGGTGATTTCATCGATAAAATGTTGAGTTATGAGCGGTTTTTTTGGCTTGGTTTGATTTTTCAAGTTCCTTCTGCGTCACACCTGATCTTGAAATCTGATTGGTCAGTGAAATTTTTTAGGTTGGTAACGCTAGGACAGTTTTATCGACACAGATGGCCAACATTATAGTTAAGGTTAGTGTTAGAATATGGCAAATTGGGTCACGTACTGCTGTGTCGGTAGCAGTTTCAAATCATTAGAGAATGATATCTTTGGTTCTCCATTACTTGTCATGCGTTATTGAACTGTTTCTCGTCCATGCTGAAATGCTTTAGATAAGTGTCTTAGCCGAAGATAAACTAGAATAATATTTTAATTTAGTTCAAAGTGCTAGGAAACATTTATATATACTAACTTGTGTAGGAAATTCGATTTGAAATTAATATTCTCACGAGAACAAATTTGTTAATTATAATGTTCTCAAAATTTAATATATGGGGTGAGTTAGTAGAAATCAAGCAGATTGTTTTTATTGAAATTTTTTTAATAATTTATACACCAATAACTTAACCAATACTTGATCAAATTTAATAAAAATTTTTTTAAATAAATTTTATAAGTTTTTAGAATTTATTTAAAAAATTTTTATTAAATGTGATTAAATTTTTGTTGAGTTATTGTTTAAAAAAAAATTGATTAGACAAAATTTACTTGATTTCTACTGACTCAACCCATATTGTTCTCAATAACAAGTGTATTGAATAAGCAATGCGAATATAGAAAACAAAGAGAAAGAGAGAAAGGAAAAATTAAATAAACATAAATGAGCAGTCTAATTAACAGAGAAAGAAAATTAAATAAAAATAAATGAATAGTCTAATTGACAAATAATACTTTTATGGAGTTTAATCTTTTTATTTCTACTTTATTTTTATTAATTATGTCAAACTTCAGATCCAACATTATGCTTCATTTATATTATATTGACTATAATACACAATTAAACAATTATTAATTATATTTATATTATCTATATAGCTCTTAAATATGAGTGCAAATAATTTTTATGCTTATCAACTAATCAATAAAAATAAACTTGAATAATTTAAACGCTTAAATTAATAAAAATTACTTTCCGATACATTTTAATAATTTTTTTGCTATTACTGTAATTAAAATATTAATATAGAGGAGAACAATAATTTTAAACTTTATGTTTCTCAAAAAAATTTTATTGAGGACGTTTTAATATGGTAAATGTTCTCAAATTAATTGAGATGTTCTCATGAGAACATGAGAACATCGAATTTCCAACAACTTAATATTAGGCCTAATAGTAAAATGATTACATGCATATTGTTGCCTAGATATAAAATTATTGAATTCAAGGACTTCGTAGCCAAAGTGAGAATCGATTGTACATTGAAAATTCGATTTGAATTTACGCGTTACATATTTTCAAGAAAAACGAATCAATTATATATACTAATTTTAAGATAACCGCTTAACTTTAAAAAAAATGCCGAGTTTAAATGTAATCGGACATTATCATTACGGCGAATTTATGAAATACCCCAAAATTTGAAAGTTTTGACCACTAAGTAAACAATAATGATTTTTGACTAAAATAACTACTATCCCCAAGTGAAGGTGCGTCATTATAATAAATTTCTATGTCTAATAAGGTGGGAAAGACGGGTTAGACGCATTATCAATCAAGATCAGAGGTCCAAAAAACTTTTTCGAGGTTTAACATTGATTCATTTATATGTTATTTGGTAACTAAAATTTAAAATTGGGGACTCAGATTTGGTGACCGACTTTTAGCTTAATTTCATAAATTCGCCGTAATGTGTAATTCTATCTGTTACCAGGGATGGTAAATGATCTAAAATAACCCAAATGATCCAAATGACAAATGACTAGTTATTGGCCATTTCAAGGTCTAAATTATGTTAGTTAATATTCCCATACCTTTAAACCAATCAGAATTGGCCGCCAAACAAAATTAAATTTTATAAAAACATAACCAATAATCGTAGCTATAGATCAAAATCCAAATTTTATTAATTAATATTTGCCTTAAGTAAAGTTGTTTAAATTGCATATGTCTTTAAATTTTTATTATTTGACTTCTGCATGTTACGTTTATATGAAAAATTTTAAATTGTTTCGTGTAAACGTCATATGCAAAAATGAAATAAAAAGTCATTCAATTTACATGAAAAGTTCAAAATACAGTCACCCTCACTATAGTCATCCTAGCTATAATCACATTATTTTTGGTCCCAACTTATTATAAAATATAAAAAATTTAACCTGGCTTTAAGCAAAACCTTATTATAATCTTTTTTTTTTGGGCCCGAAGGTGTGATTATTGCCAGGAGTGACCGTATATTACTTGTAATATATATAATTACAATCACTACTTTTGTAATAAATAAATATTACATCATTACAAATTATGGCACCAATTATTGTTAGCGTTATAAATATTTTGTGTTAATAAAATTTCTAACTTTAAAATATTTATGGCTAAATATGTTATTTGTTTCTAAATTAACAAGATTATCATTCTAATATTCTAATTGTAGTTAGAGTATATTATTTATTTTTTAATTAATGAGGCTTTGCTCTAGATACCCACTTACTACTAAAATGCGAATTGTATGAATTATAAATTAGTTTCTATTTTATTTGTTTTGAATCAATATTTCTGATTAAAAATTGTTGACTTTAAATACTCACAGGCTAGAGTTATAAGTTTTTAAAATTAGTGAAGTTCTTGATTTTACAATATTTATATATAAATATTCATGGACTAATATGTGAATTGTAGTTTGAGTACGCTATTTGTTCTTAAAGTAACGAGACTTCTTATCATGGCTTTAAATACTTACACACTGGAATACGCATATGAATTGTAATCAGATCTTAAAATGGTTATGGCTTTAAATACTCACTAACTAATATGAAATTTAAGTTTTTATATGTTTTCTTATTGACAAATGTCTAATTTTAGAAATATTTCTTTAAAACTTACGGACTAATATGAATTATAGCTTAGAGTCAGTTATGTTATTTATTTTTTAAATTAGCGATTATGGCTTTAAATACTCACTATCTAATAACGTATAAATTTTAATTATGAATTAATAAAATTTTTAAATGATTATTGTTTTAAATACTTTCTAATAATGTTTGAATTGAAGTTTAATTACTTAATGTATTTCGGCATACACAAAAATACGGTATTTTTATTTAAACTGCTAAAACTTTTTACCAAATTTTTTTTTAAAAAAAGCCGACAAAGCTATCGGTAAGTTTTTTTAAAAAACTGATTCTATAAAAAGTTATATGGACTTGAAATTTTGTTTTTTTTTCGAATCGCTATAATTTTCTATGGATGAAGTTTTTATAAAAAACTAACCGATAAAATTGTAGAGCTCAATTTTATGCATAAAGTTATCGATCAATTTTCCGTTGTCTACGTATAAGTTTTAGCGTTTTGAAAAACAATTATTATAAAACGCACCTATGGTGGTTTTGCACCTATTATATGTTTTTATTATGTTTTTTAAAATTTTCTA